ACCTCGTGATCCACCCGCCTCGGCCTCCCAAAGTGCTGGGATTATAGGCGTGAGCCACCGTGCCCGGCTGTTATTTACTTTTAATGAATTTAAATTGAAATAGCCACGTGTGGCTGTATCTACTGTATTGGACAGCACAGCTCTAGATAAATTCACTGCCTTTTGTTCCTTTCTTCAACTTTGGTCTCTTTAAAGTTTCTGGCCTGGATATCTAACTCTCTGTTTGGAGCTGGAGAGAAGAAGAGAGGCTTTCACCAATATTGTGTATCTGAATGATATGAGCCTGATGGAAGGGGACAATGGTATGTCAATCCTAACTGGGTTACTCTTGGTTGTAATGTTTTAGAAGTTACTCCAGACTTCTCAACAAAGAAATTTGGTAAACCTTTCAATGATCATATTTAATATATAATTCTACTTAGTTGTCACATTTGTGGAGTTTTTTTTTTTATCTGTAGCCCTTGATATTTTATGAAATCATAATTAAGAATAAACTACAGGCAACTTTTCTATTTCATAAGTGCCTACTATATGTTAGGCACTATACCATGTGCTTTCCATATGTTATTTTCAATGAGATAACAAACTCTGGGAATAGTTACTATTCCACTTTCCAGATAACTGAGGTACAGAAAGGTCAGTTAATTGGCCCAAAGTCACACAGCTACTAAAGGTAAATACTGGAGCTCGGGTTCAGACCAAGGTCTTCCTTCAAAATTTGTGCTCAGGCTCTTTTTACTGCTTCATGTTGCCTTTTTTAAAAAAAGAATCCTATTAATTAAAGATGATTCTGGTCAGTTGTGGTGGCTCAGGCCTGTAATTCCAGCACTTTGGGAGGCTGAGGTGGGTGGATCACCTGAGGTCAGGAGTTTGAGACCAGCCTGGCCAACATGATGAAACCCTGTCTCTACTAAAAATACAAAAATTAGCTGGGCATGGAGGCGCCTGCCTGTAATCCCAGCTACTGGAGAGGCTGAGGCAGGAGGATTGCTTGAACCTGGGAGGTGGAGGTTGCAGTGAGCTGAGATTGCACCAGTGCACTCCAGCCTAGGTGACAGGGCAAGACTTGGTCTCAAAAAAAAAAAAAAAAGAAAAATTTGTTGGATTCATCAAGTTCTTTCCTGTGTCACGTTGTCTTCTATGCTTCCTTTATCAGAAATGCAGGCCTCTTTATTTCTGACGGCCCCCTACTCCAGGTTTTCACATTATATGGGCGCCATGCACATGCCGGCTAAGCTTGTCTCATCTTTTAGCTTTCTGTTCAATGTCACTTCCTCATAGAGCCCTTCTCAGATCTTCCAGGCAGTCAGCCATTCTCTCATAATGCTTCCTTGTTCATTTTTTTCATAGTGCTTAGCATAGTTTATAAGTATATACTGACATATTTAAGTTTTGTCTCCTATAATAGACTGTAAGCTCCACAAGAGTACAGGGATTGTGTCTCTTTTGTTCATCATTACATATCCAGTGCCTAGCATAGGCTATGCCATGGGCAATTACTGAGTGGTTGAAAGAATTCTGAAGCTGCCTGGGTGCGGTAATTCATGCCTATAATCCCAGCACTTTGGGAGGCTGAGATGGGAGGATTGCTTGAGCTCAGGAGTTCAACACCAGCTTGAGCAACATAGCGAGACCCTGTCTCTCTTTAAAAAAATTAAAGTTAATTTTGTGGCTTCTCTTTATCATGAAGAATTTATACAACAGATTTTCAGAAAACAAATTGTATTAGGATGATGCAATTCTGTTCTTAGATATTTTTATGTTTTGGTATTAAACATTTTCAGTTTTGACTATCTCCTGTATCCAGTCAGTGTGCTAAGAGTGGTCAAAACCAACGTAATTTCCCTGTGTGTGTTTAGGTTGGATCCCAGAGACTATGGAGGAATGGAAGCTTCTCCTTCATCTCATACAGAGCAAGAGCACGAAGCCAGGCCCGCAGGAGCCACTAAATGGGAGCCTCGGTGATGGGCCTTCCCCCATCAATGTGGAGAACGTGGCACTTCTGTTAGCTAAGTCCATGGGCCCAGATCGGGCTTGGTCACTGCTACAGGAATGTGGTCTCGCCCTTGAGTTGTCAGAGAAGTTTACCAGAACCTGTGATATCCTGAGGATTGCCGAGAAAAGGCAGAGGTAATACCAGTTTGTCCTGCGCTCTGCATGGTGTTTGGAGAAGGTAGAACACCACAGACTTTCAGAGGTAGATGTGGAGATCACCTAGTTCCGACCCGTCACTAACATGAGGGGACTGATATTGATCTGGTAATTAAGGGAAGAGGCTAAAGTAATATTTCATTCACAGTTCTGACCAGGATGCTGTTCAGATTAACCTGAATCATCTGATGTATCCTTGATTCTTTAAAAATATTACTGGTACCTGGTTGGGTGTAGTGGCTCACGTCTGTAATCCCAGCAATTTGGGAGGCTGAGGTGGGTGGATCACCCAAGGTCAGGAGTTCAAGACCAGCCTGACCAATATGGTGAAACCCCGTCTCTACTAAAAAAAAAATACAAAAAAATTCCCAGGTGTGGTGGTAAACATCTGTAAATCTCAGCTACTTGGGAGACTGAGGCAGGAGAATCGCTTGAACCTGGCAGGCAGGGGTTGCAGTGAGCTGAGATCGTGCCATTGCACTCCAGCCTGGGCAACAGGAGTGAAACTTTGTCTGGAAAAAAAAATATTACTAGTACCAGATACCTAATGCCTCAGTCTTTTTTTTTTAAATTGTGGTATAATACACATAAAATTTATTATCTTAACAATTTTAAAATGTTAGCTCAGTGGTATTAACTGTATTCACATGGTTTTGCATTCAGTCTCTAGAACTTTTTCATTTTGCAAAACTGAAACTCCACACCAATTAAACAACATTTATTTCCTCTACCTAGCCCCTAGCAACCACAATTCTGCTTTCTGTTTTTATTAATTTGACTATTCTTTTTTTTTTTTTTTTTTGGGACGGAGTTTCGCTCTTGTTACCCAGGCTGGAGTGCAATGGCGCGATCTCAGCTCACCACAACCTCCGCCTTCTGGGTTCAGGCAATTCTCCTGCCTCAGCCTCCTGAGTAGCTGGGATTATAGGCACGCGCCACCACGCCCAGCTGATTTTTTGTATTTTTAGTAGAGACGGGGTTTCACCATGTTGACCAGGATGGTCTCCATCTCTTGACCTCGTGATCCACCCGCCTCGGCCTCCCAAAGTGCTGGGATTACAGGCTTGAGCCACCGCGCCCGGCTTAATTTGACTATTCTAAATACCTTAGCTCAGTGGAATTAATACATTTGTCCTTTTATGACTGGCCTATTTCAATGAGCATAGCATCCTCAAGGTTAATTCATGTTGTAGCATGTGTCAGGATTTCCTTCCTTCTTAAGGCTGAATAATATTCCATTGTATATATATGCCACGTTTTGTTTATCTATTCATCTGTTGACCGACACTTGAGTTGCTTCTACTTCCTGGCTGTTGTGAATAATGCCTCTGTGAATATGAGTATATAAATATGTCTTCCAGACACTGTTTTCAGTTATTTTGGGTATATACCTCAAAGCGGAATTCTTGAATCATATGGTAATTCTATTTTTAATTTTTGAGGAACTACCATACTGTCTTGTAGAGACTGCACCATTTTATTTTCCTGCCAGCAGTGCACAAAGCTTCCAGTTTTTTCATGTCCTAGCCCCACACTTGTCATTTTCTGTTGTTTTTTGTTACATAGTAGCTCTCCCAATGGGTGTCAGGTACTCTCTCCTTGTGGTTTTGATTTGCATTTTTCTAGTGATTAGAGAGATGTTGAGCATCTTTTCATATGCTTATACCTATTCAAGTCCTTTACCCATTTTGAATTGGGTTGGGTGTTTTTGTTGTAGATGTTGCTGAAAGAGTTCTCTGATATTCTGGATATTAACCCTTTATCAGATATATGATTTGCAAATATTTTCTTCCATTCTGTAGGTTGCTTTTTCACTGTGTGGATTTGTGTCTTTTGATGCACAGAATCAGTCAACTTTTTGAATCCCCCAAGACTCTGTAGGTTTTTAAGTTTTCTGTGAAAATGAACAGTGACAACTAAATTTGCTTGTTTCTTTTCTTTGGGATTTCAGGGCCTTGATACAAAACATGCTTGAAAAATGTGATCGGTTTCTCTGGTCCCAGCAGGCCTAGTGGGAGAAGATTCAGCAGGATGTCATGACATTTTGAGAAAAACTAAATCATGCTCCTGGACCTTCTGAATGCTTTTGTTATTGAAAGAAAGACGCCACACCCAAATCCTGCCACCTTATTGGGGCTACTTTTGTCAGTATCTGTACCCTTGGCATCGGCATCTGTGACGCTTTATCCGTGACCTCAGCATTCCTTAACCAAAGTTTTACTCCGCATTTCTTAACCAAAGTTGGATTTTGAAAACAGTCAGTCCTTGTTTGCTGGAATTAGAATGTGAACATCCTAGTATTATTCTGAACTACAGTATTAATTGCTTGTTGCTAGTGGATTAGGGAGATTCTTTTCTTACTGTGGCTTCCATGTGGGCAGCAGAAGCTTTTCATCCTGGTCACATGAAGACAGATAATATTATTGACTGGAGTTGAATTTTTTTGTATCTTATCTGGTACAATCTGGAAATTACTGAAATAAGACCTTGTATAATGGAATTAACACACCAAATAAGTAGAACACTGAAGATTTGAATTAGATATTTAAGTAAAATGGGACCAGGTGCAGTGGCTGAGGCATTTAATCCCAACTCTTTGGAAGATCAAGATGGAAGGATCATGTGAGGCCTGGAGTTCAAGACAAACCTGAGCAACATAGTGAGAGCTCACCTGTACCAAAAATTTAAAAATTAGCTAGGTATAGTGGTGTGTACCGTTAGTCCCAGCTACTCAAGAGGCTGAGTTGGGAGGTACTTGAGGCGAGGAGGTCCAGGCTGCAGTGTGTTTGTGCCACTGCACTCCAGCCTGGGTGACAGAGCCCTTGTCTCAAAAATAAATAAATGTTTTCATATCTAAATTAAGCTAATTTAAAATATTTTTCCCTGTATTTATTTAATATTTTCTAATCTGAACCTATATACAACTGACTAATTGATTCTTAGAAATGTGTTATCTTTAATCTTTCCTAAACAGAGTAGCCCACAAGAGTCATGCATTTTTTAAAATTATTTTTAAGAAGCCATAACAAAGCTGTGTACTAATAAGGACTGCAGCAAGCATTTGTATTATTTAAATTATATAAGTAGATTGTCATTTGTCAGGCTCCTGTACATTAACATAGCATGTTTTATTAATAATAAATGTAAAGTATGACTAAAATTTTCATTTGAACAGAATGTAGACAGGAGGTTTATTTGGAGCATTTTGCAGAAAGGTGTGGAGTAAGTAAAGTGTTGGATGCACTGAACAATTCAAATCTTTTCATTTGTAACACAACTAGAGAACATGAATACATCATTGTTATACTTACACATGACACCTAGATATGATCAACCTTATGGGTTAAAGAGATTGTCAGGGAAAGGAGGCTTCACAAAGCTGCCTAGAATTCTGGGAAGTATGGAAAACCCTCCCACTAGGGTAATTTGCCTTTTGGCTGTATTGGATTATGTTGAAATGTGAGTCTATACCGAGATAAGGATGAGAGCCCCTGCTCTACGTCAGCACAGTGATACAAGAAGGCCTATAGGAAATCGCTTGACAAGCAGACAGCATGAACTGGCACAATTGTGCAATCATTTCCTGACAGACTTTCACAAGGCACAGCAATTCTCGATCGATAAAGAGTACAGAGAGAAATTTCTAGTATAACAAAAATAAATCATGTCCGTTGAATTTATTTTCTAAGGCAAACAAAAATCACCTTCATGACTTATTGGGCTAGATGAAAAAAAAATCCCCCTCAGTTAAGCATTTAAACTTACACAGTCTATTTGGGTATTAGGCAGTGTTTCAAAATAGAACTTGTGTCTTTCTTTCACTTGCCTGAAAGTTCTAGGTAGATTGTGATGCATGGTTGCCTCACTTTCGCTTTTGTTTCCAGCTCTGACCACTGTTTTACAAGCATAGTGGCTGAGAGCTTGTGTTCTGAGGCTGACTGCCTAGGTTTGAATATCTGCTCTCTTTTCTGCTTAGTGACCTTGGGAAGTTCCTTTGTTTCTCTAAGTTTTAGTCTTGTCATCTGTAAAATTGGGATGATAGTAACTCTGATTCAGGGTAGTTCGAGAATTAGGTGAGATAATGAATGGCACAAAGAGTGAGGTGTTAGAGCCACCCATTAGTGAGAATTAAAGGAGATTGAAATGTAGGGCACAGTGCCTGTGACATAGTGTATAGGTAATAATGTTAGCTGTTGTGAGAAGGGTTTGGGATGTCATTGTTTCACCTAGTAGTTATCAGACCCATCGATACCGGGTTTACATGAGCTAGAGAGAGTGGGAAGGCGAAAATTGAAATTAATAATTTCCTGGTCTGCGTTAAATTTGTGACTGCCCTGGTCAAGGCTCAAAATCTTGTAGTAGTCACCCTTGCCTCTTCCTCCTCCTCTACCTTCACTTCTAATTACTAGGTACATTCTCTCAATTCTGCTTTACTGGTGTTTTCCATGAGTCATTTTTTTCCCATAATCTCTGGCCACCAGCCCACATTCTCATTACTTCTTGCCTAGACCATTGCAGCAGTCTTAAGTGACCTTCCTCTCTTCACCTCTAACCACTGATATCCCATCACTACCACCAGTTCATCTCAGCACAATAAATGTAAACAATTTTAGATATCACCCAGTCAAGGGATTCACAAACCTGGCTACACATCAGAATCACGACAGGAGCTTGTTATAAAAATACAATTGCTGGCCGGGTGCAGTGGCTCATGCCTGTAATCACAGCACTTTGGGAGGCTGAGGTGGGCAGATTACCTGAGGTCAGGAGTTAAGAGACCAGCCTGGCCAAAATGGTGAAACACCATCTCTACAAAAAATACAAAATTAGCTCGGCGTGGTGACATGCCTGTGATCCCAGCTACTAGGGAGGCTGAGGCAGGAGGATCACTTGAACCCAGGAGGTTGCAGTGAGCTGAGATCGCACCACTGCACTCCAGCCTGGGCAACAACACATAGAGACTGTCAAAAAAAAACATGAACGACAATAACAAAACCCAGTTTGCTGGGCATGGTGGTGCACGCCTGTAGTCCCAGCTACTTGGGAGGCTGAGGCAGGAGAATCGCTTGAACCTGAGAGGCAGAGGTTACAGTGAGCTGAGATCACACCACTGCACTCCAGCCTGGGTGACAGAGTAAGACTGCATCTCAAAACAAAACGAAACAAAACAATTGCTATCCTATTCCAAACCTGAAATCTATAGATCAAGGGATGAATTTATTTTTATTTTATTTTTGAGTTGGAGTCTCACTCTGTTGCCCAGGTTAGAGTGCAGTGACAATCTCAGTTCACTGCAACTTCTTGGTTTCAAGGAATTCTCCTGCCTCAGCCTCCTGAGTAGCTGGGATTACAGGTGTGTGCCACCACGCATGGCTAATTTTTGTATTTTTAGTAGAGACGGGTTTCACGATGTTGGCCAGGCTGGTCTCAAACTCCTGACCTCAAGTGATCTGCCCGCCTCAGCCTCCCTAAGTGCTGGGATTACAGGCTTGAGCTACTGTGCCCAGACTCAATGTACTAATTTAACCTCCTTCAACTTGCCACCCACCCCCACACTGTTCTGAGATTTAGATATAGAGTCATCCTCATGTATAGATGCACCACAGCCGCTGAGAAAGAGCATTTAGCTTGCTCTTAAGGGAAGTTAATTGCAGATGCACTGCCAGGATCTTTGTCCTCTTGGGGGACAGTCAGGCTACTTCCCTCAGAAATGATCAGCAGCTCCCCTCTGTTTTCAGAGTACAGCCCAAACCTTTGGGTTTGACATTTAAGGCCCTATGTGATCCGTTTCCAAACTTTTACTCAGTTTTAGAGCCGACGTTTGTCTCTCATCCTGGGTCTTCTGTTCCTTGCGTACATTCTGCACTTTGCCCTATCTGCATATGTTCCTGCTCACCCTTGGTGTGGCTTTTCACCTGTTGCCCACCTGTGAGACGTCACTCATCGTCTGCGGAAGTCTGACCTGCAGACCCTGACTCAGGATGAATGAATGCACTCTCACACCATTACTGTGTTTCAAGTGGGCTAGGGATGGCCATTGGCTACTTTCAGAGGGCAAAATGCAACCAATCAACCCAGACCCTCTGTCTGTCCACACATTTATTCCCCCAAGATTTTACAACAGAGGTTCTAAGTTAACACACTTGTGGATAATTAACATGGTTAAAAGAGTGGTTATACGACTGACAAAAGCTTTAGGTTCAGGGGCCCAGAGTAAATGCTATCAACAGGTAATTCCCCCTTTGATCTTCCCCATCCAGCACAAAGTTAACATGAGTAAACAGAGTAGAGATGAATGGGTGTGGGGTAAGCCTTTTGATGGGTCTCTACCTCTTTCTAACTTACTGGACTGAATGGCTGCCTTAGGCCTGAGGCAATAAAACCTTTCAGCTTTCCAAAAGGTTTGAGACTATATAACTTTCCCTATTTTCCATAATATTTTGCTTCCACCCCGAGTGAACAGCAAAATTTCCCCTTGTTTTCAACACTATCAGGCTTTGCTGTCTGCCAGCCAGTGATTGGTTCAGCTATGGGTCTGTCAGGTGATTCGGTCATTGCTTTCATTCCAGCTTTGCATCCTAGGATTAATAAATAACATAAGACAATTATGACTACAATTAGCAACAGTTGTTTCCAGTTAAAGAGTGACTTGCAGGAATGGGGGTCTAACCAGGAGAGAGGATTTTGCACACCTTTCCATATTTTTGACCAGATTATCCACAAAAGCAGCTGTTTGTACTGACTCAGTAATAGTGCCACTGCAACGCTGGCTGTTGCCAGGATGACCATGGCTGGGAGTATAGAAGCTAGAAGTATAACTATGAATCTTTTATATTCGACCTATAGTATTACTTGGCATTTCAGCTTACTATATGACATTAATGAGAAACTTTACGAGAGGCATGTTAATCCTTTTTAGTTAAGCAGTTGCCTTGTTAAAGGCTGTGAAGGGGATGTTAGTTTAAGTTACAGAGCAGAAAAATTGTGGATTAGAAGATGAGCTTGATAGAGTGTAGCAAGCACAGGTTGCAAGCAAAGTGAAAGAATAAAAAACAAATCCTAAGCAGGATTCACTTAGCTTTTTGCGTTGTCCTCTTCAGCATTCCTCAGGTGAAGTTTGGGGCTTATGTGGTCTAAGAATGCTGCATCGTGCTGCAGGGTTTCTCTCAGGCTGGCTTGGGTTTTTACTTCTTTCCATCCTTTAACGAGCATGCAGTTTTTTGGCTGGTGCTGGTATGCTGGAAATTCTAGTAGTTTTGTCTGTGCTGAGAGACTTTTTATAATTTTTGTAAAAGAACAGGTTAGTGCTTTAAGAAAAACGTTGCCAGTTTACAGAAAAACTGGATATTTCTTTAACTTTTAACCAATATGTTTACACACAGAATTCCTTTTACAATTAATGTTTTAAAACTTGCTTAAACCTTTAAAACAAAATTTATACAACCTACTTGCATAAATTCCCTTTTATAACATTTTTCACAACTTTCACTGACAACTTGGACATGCCTTAACATCTTTTGACTTTGTTTTACAACCTTCCTTACCTCTTTCTTTTTCTCTGTCTCTTACTGATTCTTTCTTTCTATTTCTCTTTTTGATTTTTCTGTTTCTGTGTGTGTTGGTTAAGCAGTGATGTTATCACTGGTAAGCCTGCTTGTCCATTGCCGTAAACTAATAGGCCAGGCAG